TATATAAACACATACATGTGTGTAAGACCCACCACACACACACATATATATATATGAACACAAACACAAACTCGAACAAAATTAAAATACTCATTTCAATATAGAGCTCGAAAGGATCGGACTTCGCAACGTAATAGCAAAATTAAACGTTCGGCGACTACACTATGTATGAACAACATTCACAGGAGGCACGACTATCAACTAAACATGGAAAAGTGTGGAACAATACCTTCCGTTGTTGCATACGCGCATCACACGCATTGATCTTTAGCATGTTCGAACCAGTTTATGATATTCATTATATAATACATAAATTACATTCTGGGCAGCTGGGGTAAACTCTAAAATTTTCGAGATTGTGGCCTCGTGGAGTCCATGTGTCTCGGTATTTGAAGGCGTCTGCCGAATTTACGATTTGTCGTAACAATATAGCATAGCCATCTGTGTCGAATTCAGAAGGCTATGAATATAGAGTGAAACTTGATTTCCGCTCGAAACCCAATATCCAGAGAGAGGGCCATGAAGAAATGGGTGTCGGGGGCAGTTGGGGCTTGGAGCCTGGGGCCTGGTCTCATAGCGTAAAGCGTAATTACGTTTAAAATCATTCCGTAAACGTGAAAACGTAGTACGTTTACGCTATGAGCCTTCCGTCTATATTATCACGTATAAGGATTTTGGCTCAATATGGCATGTCGAATTTACCAGTTTCATCCCAAATTTTGACGAGCGCGAGTCAAAGCGCGAGAGTAAGATCTGGACTAGTGTCTAGCACTCTATGTAGTGTAAAGAAGTATTAGTCCTCTAATAGATATTGTGAACAACTCCGGAGATGGTCCATCAGACTGACAAGGTCAGAACAGACCACTTTACAGAACTTAAAATTGCAGACAATAAGACGATACTCAACTTTATCTATCGCAAAAAAATTCAAAATGGTCCTGCGCGAAAGCTCTTCGTGTGCATATCAGTCGAGGCAAGGACTGAACAGTTCCACCTTAATAAGAGCGAAGACGAATACATACATAC